CTGCCGTGCCCCGCATTGTCTGCAACGGCGGGCGGCGACGGGCAGGTGTGGGGCCGTTGATAGCGGCGTTTCCTTACGTGAGGGAGCCTTTCTCTGAGGGACTCTTTGATGGACTCTTAAGGCCCGCACCTACTTGTGTGGCTGAGCTTGATTCGTTGAAGTGAAATTAGTAAATAAACTACGGTGATGTTTCAAAGAGGTTAATCAAACCAAACCACCTCACGTTGCCTCTCTCTCTCTCGGCTTGTCTGCCGGCAGCCCGCAGCCCCCGCCTCGCTGGTCCCAAGGAAGGAAACGTGGCGCGGATGGAAGACGGAGGAAGAATGAAGCCGATTCACCCGTTTTTGATGAAAACAAGTACAGGCCTTCCGACAGCAGGCTGGACAGGTGGGCAGTGCTTGCAATAGGAGCGACTCTCTGCTCCTGTGTTCATCGGGAGCTGTTAATTGACTGTTGTACTTGGTTTTTCAAGCCCTGCCATCGACCATAAATAGCTGGTCTTAAAGGAGGGAAAAGAATTTCGTGTGGTGGTCTTATCTTGGAGTCACTTCTTAAGAGTAAACATTTTTCATTCTTGCATCTTGAATTGCATTCTTTGTAATTTTCTATCTAGCTTGCTTGCTGCCGTTTATGGTGACGCAATAACTGCACAAGCCAATTATGTTTGTTTGTGGATATGGGCTGTACATAGTGTTGTGGTAAATTTAAACAAGATTACAAATTAAAGATTTAAAGATGCAAGTCCTAAAAGTCATCTGTCGTAATACTTCTGAAGGCAGTACAGACAGTCTTGAGAAGTTGTGTCTAAGTACGTCAGCACATGTGTGGGGAGGTCACTTCTGAGGTCACTCGCTGCTTGTACTGCCCAGAACAGATAACTTCAGTTTAGTGAAAGTATCGTGTTTTATATCACTGTCTACATCTGAGCTATTCATGCTGTGGTCCCTTTTACCAGTGGATGGGAGTTGTGGCCTGCAGCCATAATTGAATCTAGATTTCTAATCTAAAATGAGACGGGTTGTGCCCTGTAACTACCCATTTTACTTCGATGATAATAAGCAGAGAAGGCATTGGTCAATGACTCAAATTATGATATCCAGAGTAAATGAAATTAATTTGAGGAAGTGTGCTTGAACAGGAATAGAAGGATGAAACCTTAGAGATTGCTTCATCAGTTTCAACCTAAATAAGCAATGCTTTTGTGTGTCTTCCAGTACTGAATTGAACAGGCATGCTTTCTGGTTTGGTTTGGCTTCAGCTCTGATTGAAGTTGTTCTCTTCCTGTGCTAAAACTACTTTTTGTTTATGCCAATTCAGCGTTGTCAAGATAAATTTTTAAAATGGAAGAAGATCAGGATGGAGGCTGGGTCATATAACAGATTCAGTCGGGGGGGTGTGGGGGGTATTATAGCCTTGTTTTTCTGCCCCTCTGGCAGAGTTTGAGCACCATTTGCAGTCCTAGCCCAGCACCAGAACTTCTCACCGAGTGCCAAATGGCACATGGGGATGAGAGTCTTGAGAAAGACAGCTGCTAAGCTCAGTGTGTCTGTCACCGGAGCAAATTAATCAGTAGAAAAAAGCTGTAGACCCTCCCACGTTCTCCCTAATTCTCTGTATACACAGCACAGGTACAGAATCGAACAAGTATAAAAAATATGATGTGGTGTTAAGGAAAAATACTTCTGGGATTGTGCTGTTCTCTGCCATGGGAGAGCTATAATTGATGTGGCCTGCGTTTTGTGCAAAGTTAGAAATCAATATAAGCAAATGCTAAAAGTCCTTGGAGGCTGAATAGATATTTGCAGAGGGACCTGTGCTGTTTGGCTATGGATTTTCATTTTTTATAAAATAAAACTGGGTTTCATCTAAAAAGAGCTCCTGTTTGAATTTAACAAAAACTTTGAAGTAGTGCAAGCTGGGAGCAGGGAAGGAGTTGGAACTGGTTTTAACGCACATGGATCTAATTCCCTGACTTCAAGGGACTTCTTTGCACAGAATCCTGGTTAGTCTCCAGAGCGTTTCCAGATCTTCTGAAAAAGCTCTGGGCTACAGGATACAGTTTTGAGTTTGTGCTTTAGGAAAATTGGCCATCAGGAAGACAGGAACTGGAAAATGTATTTAATAAATAATCTGAATGTAGGTGACTGTTGTTGGCTGGGAAGGGGTATAAACTTATCCCCCTGCAAGAGTCTGAATCTGCTGGTGATGCTAATGGGCTACAATAAAGTTGTTAAATACCAGTTGGCAAAGTCATAGCAAGTCTCAGTTTACTAGCTAAAAGTTGATTGCTCGTTTTGTGCCTTTGCCTGCTCTGCTAGGTGTATATTTACATGGAGAAACTCTTGGTGCTATTGTGTAATTTTAATTAATTAGCTGTACAATTTAATTCTGTGTTCTAACTTTTGTGTCTCACATAGCTAATGAGCCTGCGTTCATGAAAGAGTGAATATTTGCGAACTCATTTAGTGGAGTGAAAATAAGTGACAAAATGAGTAAAGTTGGCATTTCATATACTGTTTTCTGAAGAACACCAGCTTAAAGTTACTGATGCGTAGGTTAGGTTACATGTTACAGGGCTATGTTTCTGTAGATATCTATATAAACTTTTTAACAAAACAAACAAACAAACAAAAAACCACACAAAAAACCCATCCCAAACCACACAACCTCAAGGTGGAACTCTGAACTGATGCTTAATTTTTACAATGATGACATTTTAATAAAACAACACAGGATTTTCACAGCCATTGTGAGTACTACAGGTGAATACATTAAATAACTATCAAGCTGCGGATGGGGGAGATGCTGGGGGTGGGGAATACAATAAAAAGAAATTTCATGTAGAGGCTTTTTTTCTTTCTAGTTTTACAACGCCAGAAGGGCCTGGACCCCTTTCCCGCTGCTCAGATTGGGGAACTGCAGTGGAAGAAGATGAAATGAGGACCAGTGTTAACAAAGAAATGGCGAGGTACCTGGGGGTGTTCAAGATGAAGCGGGGAAAGGAGGGGAAATGGTAGTTGTCTTGCAGAATCGGTACTGACTTTTTTTTAACTTCACCACTGTAGTGAAATTGGAGCAACCTTAGCTTCTTGTCTGCTGCTTCTAGGTCAGCTTTGGCTGCAGTCCTTCCTGCAGGACTGGCATAGCAAGCTTGCTGGAGAGTTGATGTGTAGCACCAAGTGACTTCCTTTTGGAGGAAACCTTTCCTGAATCTCTTGGATTGAATTACTTTGAATGTCTGTCCAGTAATTACTGGTTTTGCATATCATTGCTATAAAAAAGATTTTTAGAGAAAAGACTTAGGAAAAGAAAGTCCTCAGATGTTTAATTTTTTAGGGGAAAACTGAAACATTCATTCCATAGTGGATTTACAGTGTTTGGGTTGGCTTCAAGACTGCTGCTTAGCTGAGAAGTAAAATCAACTGTGAGCTGTGACAGCGCAGCCTTACCTGTCTCTGTGTGCGTGTGTTCTTAATACTGATTTGAACTCTTACAGGTACAGAAGAAAACTCCTGATAAATGAATTTTCAAGAGAAAGGAAGTCCTCCTCTGGAAGGTAGGATAAATTTCTAGCTTGGCTGAGGAAAATCCTGGCAATAGGTCTGAATTTTCACATGTACCATATTGCTTCTTAAAACGCTCCGTTAGAAACGGTTCATCTTAAGTCTGTTCCAACATCATAGTTCAGTAACATCCCAAGCATTCATTTGAAAAGCTTTAATGTGTTTCTTTCTAATCTTCTACATGTGGGTTTGTTTGAGTGTTGCTTGTTTTCTAGTAGTCCTGAATCTGCAATGGTTTTTCTTTAGTTCTGATTCAAAGGAGTCCACTGTGACAGTAGAACTGGAAACAGATGAAGTGGTTTTGATGAGAAGACAAAAACAGATAAACTATGGAAAAAACACCATTGCGTATGACAGATACATTAAAGAAGTCCCTAGGTAAGCGGCCTGAGTTTCTGGTTGATCATAAGTCATAGCTGTTATTTATAAGCATATTCACCTACTAAACTTGGTATCTGAGACACGTCCAAATAGAAAGCATCTACAAATTAAACTTTCAAAGACCTTTTCTAACTGATAAGTCACACTAACAATGAAATAAGACATGGAGTTTGTTTTATTTTTGTTTTTCACTAGTCAGTACAGGAGGAATATCCCTTTAAATGTTTTCATGGTGCAGAAATGGAAGTGAAAGTTCTCTTGGTTGTGCTTGTCAGCTAGAGGAAATGAAACTGCTTTTTGCAGTCGGTTTTCTCATCGGTAAATAAAAGACAAAATGGATTATAGCTGCTTTTAAGTTTGGAATGAGGTTTTCAGACAGTATGATAATACCTTTTTTTTTAATTTTACTCAAACAGAAAAACTAAGAAGTTTGTATGGAGCTGACAACTTTTCACTTGAGTGCTGGCATTGTGCAGTAGTCTTTTCTCATAAATAAGTTAATAACTTAGAATTTGCTGCTCTGTAATGAGTGTGTGTAGCAGGCAATCAGTCTTTAACATATAAAACTACGTGCTATGTATGTGTGAAGAACTCTAAAGAATTTTTCCTGTTGACTATCTGAATAGATGCCATCGTATACCAGGAGTTCATCCCAGAACTCCAAATAAATTTAAGAAGTACAGCCGCAGGTCATGGGACCAGCAAATTAAACTGTGGAAAGTTGCACTGCATTCCTGGGATCCACCTGCTGAGGAAGGATGTGATCTGCAAGAAATGTATGTATACAGTATTGAAGATACCTCTGTAGAAACTGATATATAAAATCTTACGTTGGAAAAAAAAAACAGAACAAAACAACCAGCCCTCTAAAACCAACCAACCAAAAAAACCCCCAGTGTCCTTCTTGAGACAAGTCAGTTGTTGCTGAATGTTTTCCTTAGTTCCTTGTCCACACTTGGTGCTATTCAGTTCCTTCCTGGTCACAATATCCAATAGCTTTCTCGACCTAGTTGGTGGGACTAGACTTACCCAGTGCCCTCGCAGGGGCATCCATCTATATCCCTCACTTCTTTCACCTATGTCCCCTGGGTGAGATCGGAGCTCATTCTGCAGTGCTCTAGAATACCCCACCATCGAGGCAAGCTGGTTCTTTCAGAGCAGTCTGCAGGTTAATCTGTGGTAGAAGCAGTGCTGAATATTGAGCTCCGAGAAATGCAATGTGCCCGAAGCTGCCTCAGCCTTCTCACTTGCTAGTTGGAACAGTGGTATAAATTCTTGTTTCTTGAGCAGAGAGGAGGAAAGAAGTACTTGTGAAATCATCTCAAGGTACCATTAAGTTAAAAGCATGGCCACAAGCGTTCACGGTCCAAGTTACTGTGGTATTCTGCTCTAGAAAATGTAGAATAATGCAACTAGTTGTTTTCCTCTACAGAAGGCAATAAAGCAATAAATCAGGGAACACCCAAAATAACAGTGGTGCTACAGAATGAAGGGGGGACAGGTGTAACTAATTCCTCAGGAAACAGATTTCTGGTAATAAACTACTGGTTTTCCCTAACAGTGATGCTGACTTTAAAACCAATATGGAGCAGTGGGATCTAAAAGCCAAGGCTTACTTTTAGCTTCCTTTTACTTGTAATCGATGTGAGGGGAGTTGGTATTTCAGCCTGAAGCCTACTGCGTATGTTGGTGTTGAAATACCAGTCTTATCTTCAGATACTGGAGTCTTGTTCTGTGCGTAGTGGATGTTAAATCTTATGTTGCAAAACAAATTGATGAAAACCTTGTCTGGGGAGAAAAAACAAAATTCCTTGCTCTTCCATAACATTTGTCATCGTTTGTATTGAGGCACTGTTTGAGCGTTGGGCCTTTGTCTCTGACAAGTTGCAGTGTTCAATCCCAAGGCTTTCGTTTAGTCCTTGGCCATTTTGGCTGCGTTGAGTTGACCTGCTGCTCTCTTTGGTCTCTGCGGTTTGCCCCCACTGTCCCTATCATCTCTGTCGGTCTCTGCTCTTGTTTGGCCATCGTTTTCAGAACTGCATCTACAAAGTGCAACTTAGTACTAAAAACCGGAATTTGTTTTAAGCTGTATTCTTTTTAATTGCTTTACAGTAGTCCTGTCGACCTTGGTGAGATGGAGACAGAATCTGTTGGGAGCAATTCTTCTGAATCTCAAACGAGCTGTCAAGATAATGATGTAAGCATATCTGTCATCTGCATGAATATTTGTTAATAATTGGTCCGTTACTTAGAATTATATCCAGAGTAGCCTGAACACATCAGACGTTCCATTATCTGCTGCGTTTAGGAGCTGTTTATAAAGCTGAGCAATCTTCTAATTCATTTTTCCCAGCCGTAGCCAGTGTCTGCCTGTAGTTTGTGTTTAGAGAGTTAGAACTTAAGTGACCATCTCAAATGACAAATACCTCATTTTTCATAGCCTGCAAAGGAAAATATCTGTTCAAAGTATGTCAGTTATGAACTGTGACATACAGACTTTAGATTGCAATGTCTAATGTTCAAATCGGATGTGATTTTCTTGGCAGACTCAGGCTGCTTTTACATCCAGAAGGCATTTAGTAGAGCTGAGCAGTGACCTTCAGTACAGATTTTCTTAGTGGATTTGTTTCTCTGATGAGTATTGAATCTGTGTAACGCTTAACGTACGCATATAGAGATCCTAAACACATTTGCAAGAAATCTTAGAATGTGGTTGAGTGGGCAGAAGCCTTCACTTAAATCTCTTTAATCTTAAGACTAGCCTTGGGTTTTGGTATGGCCTTTGAAGTGTTTGAATGCCTCTGTTATAGGGTGGTCTAAGTGAATTACAGAAGTGAAATGACTTGCTGCATAACTAACCTGTACTTAACTGCTAATTATTAACTGACTTTGTGTTCCAGGATACCCATTCTGGCACTCCCACCAAAGTTAGACACGTTGACTCTCAAGCAGAAGGTGAATTTGACTTGGAAGTGTGTTTGAGTGAACCTCTTAAAGATTTCGATACTGTGAGTTAAATAATCCCGTGCAAACTGTTTTAGAGGAAGTTTCTTTTAAATTTGAGAGGTTAGCTTGATTCACAAACTGTTAACAGTAAGGAGGCTTAAGCAAAGTTGGAGACTGTTCTCTAAGTTGTGGTTGGTCTATGTATTCTCTGGACCAAACTTATGGAAAAATGTAGTTGTGTGACTTCTTAATTTTTAATTTATGTATATCAGATTTTTTAATAAAACCTTTCAGTAGAAAAAACAGCCAAAGGCAATGCCCTCCTCAAGTAATTAGAAGTAGTTCCATAAGGTCTTACTGATTTCCCCCTCATTGTGTCCATAATTTCCGTTGTCCACCTGCAGATCAAGAGCAAAGCAGGGAGGTGTTAGTGAACAACTGTATGTTACCGTGCTTTTCCACCTGGCTCTTCTATACGAGACTTGAAGTCATACAAGTGGTAGCTGAGCCATACTGCTGATTAGCACTAGTAAACTCATCTACTGCAGTAATTTACTGTAAGATGAATGGCCTGACCTTTTTTTAAAAACAAAACAAAACAAAAAGATCTTTATTTCCAAAAATATTTCAGAAACAATTGGAAATTAAATACCCTCAAGAAATTGGAGGTCAATATGGTACAGTGTAGGCAGCAATGCTTTAAGAAGCAGTAGCCTGAATTTGAGATTTGTAAATAGTCCTGAGTCATTTATTCATACAGTCAAGAAAACAATGTCTAGGGAAAGTGCTTGATTGTTTTTTATTTGCTGATCTTAAATGTAAAACTGTTGTAAATGATAACACTGTACAGATTTTCTGCTGAAAGCAGTTAATGTTTCCATTGCTTTTGTATGGGATGTTGCTGGAAAATAAATGGAATTGCGTTTACTTACGACTCTTCAGCTTCACTTCCTACTGGTGATGTTGGTGGATAAGAAAAAGCAGGGCAATACTGAAAGCCACGTGTCCGAGACTGATTTGGTACTAGGCTAGCATAGGTGTGTGTTGGCACCATCCTCTGACTTCGAGGGAGACCTTAAAAACTATTTATTTGTGTGCAGGCCACTGGAGTGAACTAAGACTTGGGTAGAAGGGGTGAGCCTGTTGCTGACCTTTTGCAGACTCCTGAAGGAGTTGAGTTCAGCAGAAATCCATGAGCTGCTTCCCAGGTTCTGTTCTCTTGAAAAACTGCTGGAAGAGCTAGGTGGACAGCTCAGTCGTCTTTACTACACAGGACCTTTTGTTACAGTCACCTCGCCTGGTTTGATCTCTAAAATGGAATTGATGGGTGTTGGTGTTACAGCACTGTCGCGCTTGATGGAGTCACTTCAGCTTTCCAGCTCAGGTGAGCATCCTGGCTGTAAGCGCCATTGCTGGCTAGCTAATTTGTCAGGCACTCTTAAAATTGGGTAGCTTGATCTGATGGGGAAACTTTCATGAGGAGAGTGTGGCTCTGGGTAAGATTGGAGCTATGCTCTGGTGTTGAGGAGACACCCTTCCTAGCATGTGTTTTTCCAGCGAAGGCAGCAAAGTGATGGTTCATCTTGCTTTACTACCTGGAGGAAGCCCTCTCTGCCCTCCCCAGATCACTAAGTGTTTTTGTGTGGAATACCTGTAGCTTGAGCTACAATTTGCTTTGGAACTTTTTTCCTATATCCCCTTTAATAAAAGTGATCTTAAGGTCAAGCTGAACTCTTCCATGTCTAACTAGAACCAATTGATGCCTTTACTTAAGCTTTCTACGTAATGGCTAAAAGGGGTTTGAACTAGACTCCCCAGGCAGCCCAATAACTGTTCTGAGTGTCTCAGTTTTTAACTTCGATAGTGAATAAGGCAAGATTTCTGTAGAAAACTGCCTATTGCAGACCTGGAAACTGGCATTTTGTGTCAACTTGATTCTGATTTTGTAGTGTTGAAGTGCAGGTTATTAGTTGACACTCAGCATGCGAACTGCAACCCCAGGTGCTCGTGCTGCCTACACACTTACTGCAGTGAGCAGTAGACTCCAGCTGTCTAGTTTGAGTTACGCCAGAATGGCTGTGCAGTGAAGGAGGTGACCTGTGAGTTGGCTTCTCTTCATGCTGTTCTTAACCTCGGGCTGTACCTAAACTTTGCACAAATTAAGTGGCAGGACTTTTCCAGGGTCCACCCAGGCTATTCAGGGTATCTTAAATGAACTTAAGTCCTGAGGTACAAACAGGTGCATGTGATCTGCTCTCCTGACTAACACAGGCCATAAAATACCACCTTAAATAATCCTGGAGTAAATCAGTAACCTTAATCCTTCACGTGGAGAACCAGCATGAGGCAGTACTAGAGTCCCTTTGCTAGGAGAAGCTGGGTCTCTTTAGCTTGGAGGAGACTGAGGGGTGACCTCATCAATGTTTATAAATATGTAAAGGACAAGTGTCAGGAGGATGGAGCCGAGCTCCTCTTGGTGATGGCCAATAGCAGGACAAGGGGCAACGGGTGCAAGCTGGAGCACAGGAGGTTCCACGTTAACATAAGGAAAAACTTTTTCATTGTGAGAGTGACAAAACACTGGAACAGGCTGCCCAGAGGGGTTGTGGAGTGTCCTTCTCTGGAGACACTCAAAACCCTCCTGGACACGTTCCTGTGTGACCTGCTCTAGGTGGTCCTGCTCTGGCAGGGGGGTTGGACTAGATGATCTTTCGAGGTCCCTTCTGACCCCTGACATTCTGTGATTCTGTGAAGAGAAACAATTAGATGAGATTTTTTAAGAGGGGGTCGAGAGTGGTGGTGTGTTAATGTGTACCTGAGTATCAGAACAGCCAGTAGAATGACTTCTTTGAAAGAAGTTTTTCTAGTCCACTGTAGCTGGCCAAACAGGTTGGATCAGTGGAATATTCAGGAGGTTGTTTCTAAAGGGAAAGGTTACTTACACCTGGTTTCTAAGTAAGAACAGCTGGGTTCGGGGCAATCCCCAGCACAGATACAGGCTG